TCAAAATTAGTACAAATTTTTATTAAGTGGTGGTATTTATATTAATTAATGCAGGTATTTAAAAAAATAAGGGTTGCACAAACACTAAAATAATACAAAATCTTTGTGACGCAATTTTTCTCAAAATTGGTATACGCCGGCTTAGTACTCAGTATTAACTCAGGAGAGCAGAGTCGTGGATATGGAACTTTGGAAATTGGTACTAAAATTTTTAAAAAAATGATATATTATGGGCGCCAGATATTTTGTAAAATGTGTGAATATTATTATTAGTTAAAATATCAAATCCTAATAACAGTGATATTGATCTTAAAGAAATTTAATTTTATAAAAACAAATAAATGTGAAAATTTGTAGTGAGATGAAAATAAAAGAAATCAAATAATATTTTATACCCCATATATTTGGTGAAGTTTCCAGGGAGCTTACATACAAACTAAATTAAATTTTATAAATACCTAGACATACTTAAATGCATAAGTGCATGGCTGTAACAGTAAACAATTTATCAATATTAATAAAATTAATACTTTGGTACCAAATAAAATAAAATAAAACTGCAGTTTTACCTTGTTACAATTTGTATGTCTTATGCTGGACTTATGCAGCACACATTAACATTAAGGTAACATTAAGATTAAGATTAACATTAACATTAAGAATTCTTAACTTAAGTTAAATGAACGTAATCCATTGGAAGCTTTTATGCAACACATTAACTTTAGCATTAAGTTAACATTAAGAGATGGCCAACTTTTATCTTCTTAATGATAATGTTAATTTTTATTCCTCCTGCGCAGGTTTGCGGCGCAATTTTTAAATAAACCGTGTCAGTAAGGCCAACATACCCGAAAATAAAATGAAACTAAATGCTGAATGATTGATTTTTTATTCAATGATTGTGTTCTTTGGTTTATTGCTTGACGTGGAGTTTATAGTTTTCATTTATTTTACTTAACAGATGCTAAAACGGGATTAAAACAAAATTCAAACAAACCAAAAATGTCAGATGTCAAAATTACTTTAACTTATACGCATGCTTAATTTCCTACTAATTTTGCTGCATAAATACCCTCCTATTAATGTTAAATTAATCTTAATCTTAATGTTAAAGTTAATCTTAATGTTAATTTGTGCTGCATAAATCCACCATTAAATTAAAAATTCTTCAAAACCATATGAAGCTCCACTCTGGGCTTTAGTAAAATCCACTTAAGGATAACAAAAATTCCATTTAACTTAAATCCAACGATGGGTGACAAAAAGTTCCATATTTAAAAATCCAATTCATGTTTCAAAAAAACCATAAAAAAACAGGCATGCCAGCTGAGCTCTGCTCCAGTCTGTGCTTTAGTAAAATCCACTCAGGGGTAACAAAAATTCCATTTAACTTAAATCCAACGATGGGTGAAAAAAGTTCCATATTTACAATAAAATTTAAAAATATTTAAATCATAGTAACACTTGAAAGCGTGCTCTCATATAGCGAGGCCTACAAAAAAAAATTACAACATGGAGTCTTAATCGCGAATTAAATTAAAAATAAATTAAATAATTAAACATAACAAAATCAGTTACCTTGGTTGTTGTGTGGCCTCGTAGTGGTAAAATATCACTTAATTAAGACATTGATTGATTATCATTACAGAAATTTAATTTTTAACGGTCAGACTTGACCTACGCCAATCAAGTCTTGCAGCGAAAAGAAAGCAAGCGTGGCTTCATGTCGCCTTAATCATGCGCGCTGTAATTGAACATGTACCTACCACCACAAATTTACCTTAGCAACCAATCAACATAAAACTATCTCAAATTAAATAATACTAAATTCAATTAAATGTAATAATAAAATTAAAAGTAATGACGTTACTTGTAAGACTCCTTGATGTAAAATACTTCAGAAATCCCTACTAGAATCATTTTTGTGTGGACTCATAAATAGATAAAAATTATTAAAAAAAAATATGCAATTTACACAATTGATCATCTAGAAAAAAATATACAATTTTAATAAACAATATCTAATATTAACAAACAATATTCAATATTAACAATTATAAAGAAATTATAAATAAGTACATTCATAGTGGGGAATATGTCACCAACTTTCCAAATATCCAGCGGGGTAAAGCGGGTGAAGGTCAAACCAAATGCGCTACTATTTAAAACGTTGCATACCACAAAATATCACTGGTTGCCTATATTAAAAATATGAAGAAAACATTAATTTGCTTTTAATAATTAATAACGGCCAATTGGCACGTTACATCTTCTAAATCTCAACAATATTAACCCAGTTATACATTATAAACACATGTTTAAAACAAAATAACTTCCAATTTAACAATAAAATATATATGAGTCATAATCATGGGCAATCCTCTAAGCCCATTAATAGCGGATATTTTTGTGAAACACTTAAAGATAATTATACACAAACATCCATATATATATATTGATCATATCCTATATTGGTACCGATATGTAGACGATATCCTAACTTGCTTCACAGGTACAAAACGACAACTAAATATTTTCCTGAATTTTATAAATAACATACACCCTAGCATAACATTCACAATGGAATTAATTATTATTATCTATAAAATAGACAATACACATCCAAAATTTTTCACAAACCCAACTACACATAAAAGTTCTTCTCATCCCTTTTCACACAAAATAGCCTCATTTAATTCTATGGTCCATAGACTCTTAAACGTTTCATTATCAGAAATAGATTATAATTACGAAATAAACTTCCGGCGTTTACCAACTAACTTGCAGAGACTGTCCGAAAACATATATAGGCCAAACAGGACGAAACTTTAATACACGAATTAATTAACACAAGAAATCCTATATACCTAAACCTCAAACAGGATTCTTCATATGCTAACCATCTAATACAAGAGAACCACAAATTTGATGATAACTTTAAAATATTACATGTAGCCAATAAAAGTACCAAACGAAATATTAAACTAAGGACAAAATCTGATATTGTTCTTAATGACCAAATTAAAACCAACAGCTCGCCTTTGCTAAATTTATTTTAGAATGTATACCTGTAGTAAGTACTAAAAAATAATATTTATTAATATTGTAAAATTATATTAGATAGGACTTTCCAAATCCATACAACACTTATTTTTTCAAATACCTGCATTAACTAATATGAATACCACCACTTAATAAAAATATATACTAATTCTGAAGAAGCTACTGTGTAGCTAATTATTTAAAAAACATAAATAAAATAGTGAAACTTTAAAACAGTGTTGTTTTCATTCATATATTAACCCTTAACTAGTCGCGCAGGTGCACTGAGTGCTCCGTTTTTATTAAAACCTCTATAACTTTTTGTCGTTTTCTTGGAATTAAATGCCCTTTCCATGTAACCTATGACTGATGTGTCTACCATGCACTGTCGACGGCATATTTAGTTTAAACTATTGATTTCAAAGTTATGGACAGAAAACTTAAGATTGATTTAGAAATAGGTACTTCACTAAAACGTAACTAAATTTCAATTTTTGTAATGCAAAATATTTCTAAATCAACAAAGTATGGAATTTAAAACATAATGGTTTTTAAGGTATACATTTTTATAAGAAAACACAATTAAAAAAAGAACGGCTAAATTTCCTTCTGATTTCTTCTTTTCTGAGTAGAAGTAATAACTTTTTTGTTATTTGCTTTTTGTTTTATTTTTTAATAAATATTGTGTTTAAGAAATAGAGTTTATTCATCGGAATATAACCAAAAGTAATATTAAAATTGAAAACATTCAGCAATATAGCCATTTTAAGGAGCGGAGCACTCAGTGCACCGCGCGACCACTTATGTTACAAAAATTGGCGCGAGTAGTTAAGGGTTAATAATATGGAGTTTCATCAAGTAAAGGTCGAAACAATCAACAATTATTCAGAAACTAAAAGTAAATTTATTGACTATGTTTTATTAATATTTTTAAATCGATCCTTGTGTATCTATCGACGCATGCGCAATGGTTCTAAAACGACGTAAAGCTGGCGCATTGCGTCCTTGTCCGATCATGCGCTAACTTTCCCGTTTTTGTCAGTTGGCAACCCCTATTTGCGGGCACTTTATTTTAGGCAATCGTATATCATCGTATAGAGAAAAAATAGCTTTAATTAAATATATAATTCATTAAAATACTTTTTGAGTGCAAAAATTGAACGAAGTAATACCTGGTTGCCAATAGGTTGCGGCCAAGTGAGAAACGGCAACCCATACCTCTCTATGAAATAAATTATAATTTATCGCTAAACTAAGTAAGTGCAATTGTTTAGAAAAAAAATAATTAAAGATACTTGCTGCCGTATTTTGATAGGCAACCCGATAGAAACCTATTCCTCTATTAATAATATTCTCTAAAAATTACATTTTGTTTTAAAATCAGATGGGGTAGTAATCATGCTGTAAACTCTGTGATCAATAAATATTATTATTATTATTATTATTATTATTATATTATTAGGACCGCGCAGAGAAAATCATAAATGGATGTCATAATAACTTGTGAGATCCTGATTATTATCCGGGAGTGGAAACAAGCTCCGAATCGGAGCTTGTTTCTCCGATACGCTCGGCCGAAAATACTAGGTATTAAAGTAACACGTATGGACTTGGACCTGTTATTCGGGGATATATTCCCAAAAAATACTGATCTCTAATGCGAATTCAATGGGCCGGCATTGCAATTCCGGCTGTGTATCCACTTCACATCCCTCTCTATATGTACAGAGTATCCCACGGTCACCATATAATCTGTAAACCACGAATTCCTTAAGAAATTCGCTTTAGACAGCGGCTTACGGATGGCAATGTCGCGCTGGGATTGGCTTACTAAAAAGTGCTATATCTTGCTTAATTTTGGAATTTTTAAAAATGGTAAAGGAAAAACATTTTTAAGGAATGTATGGTTAAAAGGTTATCAGGTGACCATGAAAACTGCATTTTAAAGTCTTACATACCTCTCTAACATCAGGTTGTAATTTACAAAGCATATTTTTATTACATGCATCCAAAATAATTTCCTGTGTTTGTTTATCCAAACTGTTAAAATCGCACATTTTACTGTCAAACGTGGAAGGTTTAACTTTTGGATATTTAATATTTGATAAAGCAATAATATCCACCTCTATAGTAGGATTCATGCCAGATAAGGAGGCAGGTGCTGGTCCATGTAAACCATTTGATTCCGAAGACCAAATAGTTAAAAGCATTTTTCCATTTTTGAATTTCCTACAAATTTATAATTTTGAACTATAAATAAATATATCTAATTATGCACACAAATTTACATTATTTTGACATAATTATGCTTAAAAAGTAATTTTTTTTCTACATTTAAGTTTAAAACACTCGGCAACACTATGTTTTTCCTACGTCAATTTAACAAACATCTAGAAACGGTTGTTATAGAAATAAAATAAACAATGCATATGCTGCTTAAGGATACTTGAGACAGAATAGTCAACTCCTAAAGCGTAACTTATCTTTTCTTTCCAATTGTCGTGTTTCTTTACCCACAAAAATCAAATTAAACAAATTGTGATAGATAAATCAAAAAATCTTGAGTGCTTATACCACGCCCACCGGAATCTAAATATATACATATACATATATATATATATATATATATATATATATATATATATATATATATATATATATAAATATACAACTTATATTGTGGCGAAATTTTACAAATAAATTAATTAAATTTAACCTTCGCTTACATGCGCGACAGTTTTTCTTAGTCGGGAGCGGGGTGGGTAAGTAATAAGGTAATAAGTATTTTTATAAATGGGCGCCAGCCAAAGGAAATTCTTTCGACAGAAACTAGGAATAAGGAAAAAAAGATATTCTAGTTTCTTTTAAAACGAAAACAAATAAATATCCAGTTCAAGGTCACATTTAATAAACAATAAATAAATTGAGTTCATCAAGGTAAGTAAATTATGTTTATAACGTGATTGTACTCGGCTTACAAAATAAAAAAAAGGAATGTTCTTACTCAAAGTTGACTCTATCAAATTATAATTATTCCTCCTGAATGTTGAGTGGGTTTTAGCCAGTGTTGCCAGAAATGCAGATTTTTCTGCAAAGTGCAGAATTTTAGGGTTAATTTTGACTCATTGCAGACTTGCAGATTTATTTTGCTTAAACCCCTCGGATTGCAGAATTCTTATCCTGTAGCTTAAAAAAACCTTTTTCCTAATTTAATTAAATAAAATCAATTTTAGTGACATGCTTGTGCAAAGTACGGTAACCCAGATGACATCGAAGTGAAGTAGTCAGAGACCTCTATAGTTATTTGTATTTAATTAATAAAGAGCTCTACGAAGTAACTGTTACTTGTTAGCATGTATTTCCCCTAAATAGTTACTTAACCTAGAAAAAGTATTTTTATTTTACAATCTTTTGTATACTATTTACAGTACCTATTGATTATAGTGTAAAAATTTTAAACAAAGGACATGAGTTATATAATGTATGTACACAAGTTTTATTGTAGTGAAATATTAAAGAAAACAATGCAAAATGATAAATCTGCTTGCGAAAACTGTCGTTTTAAATTATTTTACATTGGATTTTTGGATTGGTTTATGTTATTTGTTATTATAATTGGTTTTAATTAAGAATTCTATTGGTTTAAATGGCTGGTAAATTGTATCCATTCATCAAAATAATTGAAAATATTTCCGAGTTGCAACTGATAAATTCATAAACTCTAATAGAATTTCCAATAAAAGTCAATTGCAAAGGATTCAAACTAGGGATTGCAATCCGGCAACAATTTCAATCCGGTCGGATCCGGCCGGATTCCTGTCGATCCGGCCGGATCCGGTCGGATCCGGCCGAATAGGTCACATCAAACATATTTTGTCCTTTCATTCTGAAATTTGCTTATCTTATAAGAAACTGTAATATAAAAGATATACTATAGTATATCTTTTATTAATTGAGTGTTCAGGTACACTCAATTAATAAAAGATATACTATAGTATATAGGTCTATAATAAAAGATATACTATACTACATAGGTCTATATTACAAAGTTTATAAAATAGTATATCCAAAAAAATGCAATTAGGTATTTATTTATTAAACTTTAAGTTTTCTAACATTGTTTTATATGCTTTTTGGGATTATCTATTTGCATTTAAAATATAATTCCAAATATGTGAACAATGTTTAAAATCATATTTATGTGTGTATTAAGTTAGTATAAAAAATAGCTGTATTATTGTTTATAATATTTGTAAATAATATTAACAATTATTGTCTTTTTTTTATTGTTTCACTAGTGGTGCAATATTTGCATTGTTCAACTAGTGTAACAATGGCTTACTTTGTCAATTGTTTTTGAGTGTATAATGTCTCAATTCTAAATGAGTGTGGGACAAATGTATGTATGTAGGTATTCATCAATGTAATAAGAAAGTTATATTATAAATAAAATCAGAAATATGCATCGTTAGTAATGATTCGTTACTCAATTCGTACTCGTAAATGCAACAAAAAAATAGTTCAATTAAATAATAACAATGTCTACTTACATTTAATTGACGAAGCAACGATAAAAACACATATCGATGACTTTCTGCCAAAGTATCGCAAGCAACATAACTTAAATTTTGGGATTTAAAAACAATTTTTGTTTTAAAGTCTGTTTTAAACCATATATAACCTATAGGTTTTATAACAAGTAAATAGCTATAATTATAAGCTATTTGCTTGTTATAAAACCTTTAATTTAAAACAGACTTTAAAACAAAAAATGTTTTCAATTCCCGAAAGTAGTCAAAACAGAGTCTCCATCTTATTTGTACGAATTACTTATAAAACGAAACCAACGTCACAGCTTAAATGTAAGAAATAATCAGTATTATTCAATTCCTAGTCATAGAACCTCGAAATTTGAGAAAAGCTTTGAATATTTTGCAGTAAAGATTCTGAACAAATATCACGATGTTTTTAACTCAACATACTCTGTAAATAGTTTTAAGAAAATACTCCAATCCACTTTGCTAAGGGAACAAGCTAGTCAATTTTAGTGTAGTAAAATTTAAATATATTTTTTGTAAGTATGTATTTTTTACCAATCTACCTTGTTATTTTTTTGTAGTATTAAGTAGGTTTAGAATGGAAGAACAGCATCAGCTGAATTCTCGCCTTTGTATAAAATATTGTTTTTATTTATATTTTTGTGCAATAAAGATTATTATTATTATTATTATTAAATTTCAGTTATGTTGCTTGCGATACTTTTGCAGAAAGTCATCGATATTTTTTCACTCAAGCGAGTCACAAATGACAAACTGTCAGTTTAAAACCCAACTGTCAGTTTGAAACTAATGTCGTGGGATCGGATCCGGCAAACTCATACCGGATCCGGTCGACGTTTAATGATGCCGGATCCGCCGGATTATCGGATCCGGTTTTCCGGATTGCAATCCCTAATTCAAACCAATCCGAAAAAAATAAAAGTATCGCTCCAATGAACAATGTTACCAACGTGCAGAAAAATCAGTCGATTTGCAGAATTTTCAGTCATTTTACGCAGAGTATGAGTATTAACTATCTGGCAACACTGGTTTTAGCCACTTAAACAAGATGTAACAGCACACAATCCAGATTACCCAACAGGTTCAGGTACGTTGCACTGCTTGATAAAACTCTATCGTTAAGTCGAGACGGTGGACAACAGGTACAGGTCCGTATTTATTTCTCCAAATAAATTTATTTAACTTTTTTCAGGTAATCGCAATCTAGGGCGATTAATAAAATCAAAAAGTATTACGATGTTCCCGTAAAGGGAACAAGTATTAAGAGATGAACGCACGTTGATGTACGCGCGTTGATTTCGCCAGTGTGTAGAGAAATCTTCTGTTAAAAGACCGACGCACAGCGGGCCAGAAATAACATTTAATATTGAATAAGTCAAAAATAATTTTATCTCCACGCGGTCTATAATTTAAACTTTATTGTTGTCAACATTCGATAAAGAAATACCTTGTTATGGCCTAGGCCGATAAAAATTTTTATGAGGCAAGTAATTAGTTCGATTTTTTCTCGCTAGGGGTATTGTTTTGACAAATTAATCCTTTTCTAAGAAATTAACGTACTAAACTGGTTTAATTTATTTATAATAAGCACTAATTTGTTTGTTTTACTGTTATAACATTATAATGTTTAATATTTTTCATTAAATTATTGTAAAATTAAATATGAATAATAAAACAAAAAGTGTGGTTAGGACATTGCAATTTGACGTTTCTGTGGCTTTCACAGTTGTTTTCTTTTTCTACGATTTAAATTATCTTCAAATTTTAATTTGCTTTAAGTTTTCAGTAAATGTTAAACACAGCGTAAACATTCCAAACTACCCATTTTTTTTAAATAAAAATGCAAACAAATTGAAATTAGATACCTATTTATTAAAAAATTAATTGAATTCAATGTAATAGCAAGAGGGTAAGTAAACCATTTTCTTACAAAAATCCATTTCTACTTAAATCATGTAGCTAGGTATTGTCAAACTATTACTGCTTCTAAAAGGAATAATAATTATTTTACATTTAATGTAATCTTTAGCTAATAAATAAATGAGGTTCTAAAAAAGTGAGGTTAGGCCATTTTTATGTTGAATTAAATTGACCTATATAAAGTGCTTTGAAGATAAAATGTTGTATGCCATTCGGCCAAGAAGTGTCTTTTTGTGCTTCGCTCAATTGTAGGCCTCCGCTACGCGTCGGCCTTCAAACTTTGAGCTTAGCACAAAAAGCCTTACTTCTTAACCTAATGACATAAATAACTATTATTAATATAACTGATAATTTAATACTTACATAAACTTAGTAAGCTTTGATTCATATGAAAACAAAAAAATATTTCGATTGATTGTCATGGAGACGTCAAATACCGCGTCAGTTTGCAGCAAGTTTGTATTTCGCATTTAACTAACGGTTTGTGAATTGAAAAAGGTTAAATTTATTAATTTTTTCGGTGGGATATATTAAGATATATAATATCTGTGATGGATGAAGCTAAAAGAGGTTAGTAGATTTTCCACCAAAAGACACCTTAAATGAAAACTTTCTATTTGTTAAAAATATCTATTGAATCAAAAGGTTCAAATTTGCCACAGGCTTTTTTTTAAATGTCAAACTATCATATTTTTCTTACTTATATTTTTGGAATATATAATAGTTATACTTTATTTTGATAAAAAAAAA